AGAAAGTCCTTGTACTTGCATCCCATTCCATCATTCCTTCGGTCATGGTTGTTTTGCCTAACTATCGGTGCGTTGGCTTGACCAACAGACCCACTAAAGTTTTCACCTTTCGAGTGCCCTTCATTTAATTTAGGCTCTTCCACACGAATTGACAGTTCTTCACGCATCTATTGAAGTAACCGCCTAGTCTCCTCAATTTGACGATCCAACATTGTTTGAATCATCATTTGTACACCAGCCATTGTTATTGGCTCCGGTGCTGCAGCTACAACAGGTAATTGTTCAATCACTGGTAGTTGATTCCTGTTTTCACCAGCATCTCCAACTCCACTTCTTGTTCTCACCATTTTTTATCTATACACCAAATAAGGTGAAATTAGATCCTTATTCACGATAGATATTCAAATCATCCTTATCACTCCGAAACGTTTACATGCTAGTTCTAATATCGTAGACGTACGCTTAGAATCCTACACACATAAGGTTTCTAGATCCGGTCGGCAACAGACCATAGATCCGAACAAATAATATCATATATGACAACATTACAACATTTAGCACATAAAAGCATTTTAGGCAATTTTCCTAAAATAAACTAGTGCTCGTGTCTAAAACATAACAGACAACATATCTCAAAATTTCACTTAGCATTTTAAGTTTAAGTCTAGAAATCCAACAAATTCCTAGTTCGCTTAAACTAATGCTCTGATACCAACTGTGACATCACCAAAATCACGGCCAGAAAAAACCGATTTTCAATTATGCTTTTAAAATAATTTTAGAGTAAATCCTTTTGATTTGAAAGAGTTGGGGAATTTTTCCCAAAAACAAAGTATGATAAAATAGGATTTACCAAAGCATTTGTTAAAGAAATATATTTTTCATTATATTACAATACTCGGGATGTCATGTTCCGATAAAAAGACCAAAAGCATAAACATTTAAATATAGACCTTAAAACAGTTATTTACAACAACAGGTCTATAATCCAAAATAACTTGACAAGTCATCCAACTTATGCTCTAGCACCACTACCTGTAATACAAAGAAACTGAGTGGGTCAGGCTTGGGAGCCTGGTGAGCATATAGGGTTTTCAACCCACAGAAAAATAATTATGTTTAATCCACCAACCAACAATAACCCAATTACCCATTCCAGTTATCCTCACTTTACATCCCTAAGACAACTAACATAAGGGACCTAGTCTAAGAATATTTCATCGGGGCGACAACACATGCTTCGGGGGTCCTCAGCAATATAAGTCAAATAAGGCAACCATGAGGGGGATGGAGTACAGCGAATGAACACCCAAGTTCATTAACACCTACATGTGGCGAGCCTGCTAGTGTTCCACAAGACTATCTAGAAAAGTCTGTGGTCGTCATCTAACTCCGCTAGATGACTGAATCAAAACAACAACGAGGCCTCTCATCTGTTTATTACACACCAACTATCTACCCATGTTCTACCCAACATATTAGTAGATAAAAATATACATTTTTATACATAGTTTAAAAAAACCTATATAGCATGCTTTAATCAATATATATTCCACATAACAGATGAGGGACACACACGTAACACGTATTTCATAGAGAATAAATCAGATCTACGAGATAGAAGAGAGTGAATATACATTCACACATATAACAACAAAATATATACACATAGAACGTATTTTATATAAAATACTTCATAATATTGTATTGGAAGAAAATAACTACACACTCAGTTGATCAAAAGATGATCGGACAGCACTACGGCTTACAGTAGTAGTAATCCTCAGCAGATCTGGAAGATCTTCACAAAAATCGAACTTCTCGCGGGCAGAGCTTCGGCTCGGGAATCGCACTTCTCAGGATCTTCGGGGCTTTGGGACTTGCTTCAGGATATTTATTGCACGTAAATCGAGGTAAAACGGGAGAGAGAGGAGAGAAAATAGCAACCCTAAATGGCTGGCCCTTCAAATCTATTTATAGGGAAAATTTGGCCATTGCCACGTCGTGGCACCCTTTTTCCACGTCGTGGGCTTCGTCGTCACTGCATACGTCATCGCAAGTTGCATCTGGGCGACACCCGGAGGTGTCAGAAGATTTGCCACGTCGTGATATCTGACAGTTTTGGGGTTTCGCGCCCCGAACTTTAGAAATTCATAACTTTCGCATACCAACTCCGTTTTCGATGTTCTTTATATCGACGCGAAGGTGATATTATGATCTACAACTCTTGTTTAGACTTCATTGGCTAATTTTGACTTGATTTTTAATATATTGTAAGTATATTACTTATATATTATTTTTAGTAGGCCGGGACAGGAAAACTGTGTTCGAAATTCATAACTCCTTCATCCGAACTCCGTTTTCGTCTATCTTTTTATCGTTGGACTACTTTCAATGAGATCTTCAATTCTCATTTAGAGATTTTTGGCTAAATATCACTCGATCTCTATTTCGAGTATTCGGGCTGCATACCGCTAAGTCGAAACTTCGAAAAATCATAACTTCCTCATACAAAGTTAGATTTAGGCGTTCTTTTTATGCTCGCTCTTGGTTTAAAGAACTCTACAACATTCGCTTAGATCACTAAGGCTAAATATCTCACTAACGTAAATTTCACTTTTACGTCATTCAGCGTTGCTGTTCTGTCGCGAAACTTCGACAGGTCATAACTTCTTCGTTATAACTTGGATTTCGGCATTCTTTATATATTCGGAAACCTCGTGTCAACCACTACAACATTATCCATAGATATCGGCTTTATCTAACATTTCATTTTGATGCTTATTTTTATTCTTAATTAAATTAAGTCACACAATTAAGCACATAACACATAATACTTAAATATTTCATCATTAATACTTCAAAAAGAGTTACAAGGGTTAACCTAGACTATTACATCAATGATAATGCCTAGCCTGGAAACGCGGGCGTTACAGAGATCAAATTTAGAAGTATAAGTAGGTGCAGCTCTGCCACTGGTCAAGAAGTCCAAAAATTGGAAACTCAATAGAAAGGACATGAGAGTTATAATTACCGCCTAGGATGGAAAGGTAAAGTGCAAAGTCATTATACAAGCCTTGTTTTGTTGATGATTTTGGAACATAATCATCCTAAGGGGAGATAATGTAACGCCTACAGATTTCGGACAATCAAAATAGAGATAAATAGCGTTAAAAATGACTTTTTGATAGAATATTATTTATGAAAAATAACCTTAACCAAAGTTATAGTATATGTCACAACGATTCCTTACATATAAAGAACGCTCAAATCTAACTTCATATGAACAAGTTATGTTTCTTCGAAGTTTCACGATTAAACCAGCACGACTCTACGTATCGTAAAAAGTGAGATTTTGATAAAATACCTTTTATCCTTAGTGATCCCAAAGAAATTAATAGTATTCATTAAACCGAGAGCGTGCATATAGAGAACGTCCAAATCTGAATTCAGTAGAGAAAGTTATGATTTTTTGAAGATTCAACGTAGTAGTATACAACTTAGAAATCGAATTGTAGATCCATTGATTTTCAGCGGAAACAATCTAAACGAGAATTGAAGATATCGTTAATAGGAGTTCAAAGATATAAAGACAGTCGAAAACGGACGTTGGATGACAAAGTTATGAATTTTTAACGGACTTTAATTATGTAAGCCTGTTAAAATATAACTTTAAAAATAAAGTCAAAATTAGCTGATGGAGTCTAAAGAGAAGTTGTAGACCTCATCGATAGCTACATGTAGATATAAAGAATGTCAAAAATGGAGCTCGTATGCGAAAGTTATGGATTTTGCAAGATAATTAATTTTTGGATTAACAAGAACACAACACGTGTCGCAATCTGGAACACCCCTTTCTCCCGATGGCTTGTCACTAGATGATGACACATGGCAACTAGTATGCCCAATGTAAGTTGAATACACCCAACATACTGGAAAACTTGCAGCCTACAAAGAGAACATGAATTTCATCCATTTCTTCACACATCTTCATTCCAATCTCTCCCAAACCCTCCCAAGGTACATAAGCCTTGTTCTAGTAGTTCCTAAGGATTAGTAGTAAAGCTCTATAGTGTCAGAAAGCCCCGAGAAATAAAGATTTTGGCTTAGAAGTTTTTCCCACGTAAAGTCCGATTTGTTGCTAAACCACCAGTAAGTTCAGTTATGCTTACTGTGCTTTAAGTATAACTTATGTTTAAGTTCATTATTGTTATTTTGAACCTATAAAAAGATTTATCAGTGATTCCATGTATTTATATTGATTGATCTACTTACGGGGATGATGATAAGGCTAGATTTACTGAGATGTTTAAAGTGGACTTTCCAAGCAGTATACTAAATATGCCAAATGGACCCTACCTCTGATATGATCTTACCTGGTTGTCCCTTATCAGTTATGGATCAATACACTTTGAATAATCATGAATCTAGACTAATAATTAGTTGTAAGAAATATTAGACTGAGACTTAATGATAATGATACCAGGTTACGTCAAAGGAAAAGATAGTTGCTAGGAGCGAAACATTGTCCAAGTTTCGAGTCATCACTTTAACAAGTGAGTGCATAGTCTTATTCAAGAACATGATTTTAATACAATTATTAAATAAAGTTTTAAATATTTGTTAAAGATTTTATGTGTGAGATATTTTCTATTGCCTGGAATACATGGTAAGAACATACCTGATAGAATATGATGATTTAGGACTTACAAAATAGACCTAAATTAATTAAGATGAATATTAGGTAGTATATTCTTAAGAGTACGGTTGAGATATACACAGAGGCTAGAACTCTAGCATTTATCTTTGATCCAAGAGCATGGATTACACATAGTCATCCGTCCTTAGTTGGAGAGTATGAATTGGGAATAGTAATTTGTCATTAATCCAAGAGCATGGATTATACAATCATTCAACCCTAGTCTGAGAGTATGGATTGAGAATAGTCATTTGTCATTGATCCGAGAGCATGGATTAGACATACTCATTCATACCTGATCCGGGAGTATGGATTAGGTAAATCCATTCATTTTAGATATGGAAGTATGAATCGTGTCATTGTGAGGATCGACAGGGTGGGGTAACTTGCTTATATGAGGTGAAAATTGTATCTTGTGAGTTCTAATATATATATATATATATATATATATATATATATATATATATATATATATATATATATTATAACATAATAGGATTGAAATCCCTATGTACTCACCACGTTTCCCAACCTGACCTACTTAGTTTATTGTATCACATGTAGCAATATAAAAGATACATTCTGCTGAGAGATTCAAGGAATACTAGGCCACTAGTTTAATTACTGTAAGGCTTGTAATATTTCGTTATGCGTAATTTTGTGTATCGACGATGGCATCCCAACATTTTAATATAAATAAAATACATTTCTTCGGAAATGATTTGATAATATCATTATCATGTTTTTGGGAAAAAAAATTCCGCAATATTATTCCACATAGAGGATACTTTGATTTTAAATAAGCATAAGGAAATCGGTCTTTTATGGTTGTAAAATTTGGAGGTGTCACATTAATGGACTTGAATTGATTCCATAGTGAAGTAGTGGATCTATGGAACAATTTCACAATCATTGTTGTATATGATTTTTACGAGGTACAAAAAGTTTGGAAAAACCTTTGATACATTTTTTCTGAAATAATAAAGGCACCAATATTATTCAATCAAATAATGAACTACAAAATATCACCAATAGTGTTTCTTCTAGAACAAACCACTACACACATATCAAATGATTGCATACCTTTTTGATAATATGGACATGATGGTTCTCAAGAAAAACCTTGTTACATACACCATTAACAACCACTATTTAGAATTCAACAATGTTACTAACATTATCCATTACCACTCTTCCTATATTCTTGGTGACTCTTCTTATACTTCTTCTCGGAGAGCAACAGATGAATCAAGTTCATGGTTGCCTATTTCAAGCCTCCTATTTGGATCATTCTCCTTCCTTAAATTCCATTGCTATTGAAAATATATTTGTGGTCAACTCTTTAGTGGCAGAAACAATTGATATATGGTTATCAAAACAACCACCAACCACCTTGACAACCTCTTGTTTATTGTCACAATTCACCTATGTATTGGGGGTATGACTTGATGTCGTGGGCCTGCACCCCACCCAAACACCACCCCTCTAAGTTGAACCTCCCTCAATCGAGTCTTCTATCGATACCAATATGCCAATAGAGTAAGTTGTTATGTTAATCATCTCAACAATCACGAATGGCCCTCTTTCCATCAATTTTTAGTGACATGTTGCTAAGTGATCCAATGAGCGCATAATGATACATGGATTAGAAGCAACTTCTTATCTTCATACTATTTTAGGTATTCTCAAATCCCTTAGTAGTAAATGCATATCCACTTATGTAGTAGTCGGTGATGGATTTGAGATTCTTCTAATTAATTTGGGTCACACCAACTTACCATATCCCAACCTATATTGTATAGTTTTTCCTTAATCATATCCTTATCACCTCATAAAATCATTAATGATCTTATTTGTGTAAATCATTTCTTCGTGAAAAAAGATACACTATTGAATTTGATTTTTCTATGAATGACTTCTTGATTTCTCAAACTCTTTTATGATATGCCAACTCTGAAGACCTTTATCTGTCACTTCGTCTGCTCTTTAAGTTCCCATGTCATTTATATCGTATCCTTGACATCAACTTCTTGGTGATCATTGGTAACATGCCTTTCAACATTTTTGACTTGATTCATCTAATTCCTTGTACCAAAAAATCCTAGCATTGTGTTGTTGGTAAGTAAGCATGTTTGACTTATAGTTATTTTATCTAATTATTTTGTGTCTTTTCATTAACAAACAGTTTATCATGATATATAGACTTCTCTCTTAGAAAGTCAAAACAGTATTAAATAATAAGTTCGTTTCTTAAACCAGTTTTCTCCCTTTTCTTTTTGTGTAACCTTTACTATATAAAGTTTTGAAAAGTCATTCACCTTCTTTCTTATATTAAAATCAATTCAATCATGATATTCATTATTTCCAATATGATAATGGTGAGGAATTTAATAAGTCGTAGTTCCATATACTTCCCAACACAATGGAAAATCCAAACAATTAGTACTTGAAGTTATGGGGTTTGTTTGAACTTGGTGTAAGTGGATTAGAGGATGTTTATATTATTTAATGTCGAACTTGATGGACTACAAATGAGATAATTTCCGACTTGGTCTTTTGGTCAGCTTAAACATATAAATGATAGATAGGTTTTATAATAAACTCTCTAAAAAAACTAAACAAAGATTTTATTATAAAATAGATTTCAATTCCATTCTAAATCCATCCAACAAAACACACAACACATTATATGAAATGTAAACCAAAATAAAAAGTTTCAGCAAAAATCAGACAATCCCATTCGTTAAGAATGAAGAAGCACGAGATTTACTGAAATGAAATGTAAATTACATGGTGATAACTATCGATTTCACAAAGTTGATTGCGAACTAATTTCATTATCATTATTATTGTAGTGATCTGATCTTACCTAATAATATGATCATGAGGTTTTATGTTGTGACCAATATTCATTAACAAGCTGTGCAAATAAAGAATCAGGTTGGCTCATCAATTTCGAGGGTTCATCATACTCCATCACCTTTCCTGTAATTTACAAACAAGGTAAAATATTAAAAGTCACATAAATGAAAATTACCAAAATGTAAGGAATCATGTTCCTTCAGGACTGGAATGGCCCATTCAATCAGACAAGAAACATACATAGGAAAAAAAAACTTACCATCCTTCATAACAAGTACCATTGAGCAGTCTATAACAGTTGGTATTCTATGTGCAACTGTAATTACTGTGCAATCTTGAAATTCTTCCCGAATAGTTTTTTGAATAATTGTATCAGTTGCATTATCGATTGAAGCTGTGGCTTCATCAAGTACAAGTATCTTTCGCCTTTTTAAAAGAGCTCTTCCTAAACAAAACAGTTGTCGTTGTCCCAAACTCCAATTCGATCCATCTTGCACAACTATAATAATCAAAGAGCGAATGGAATGGAGAATTATCATGGAATGAAATGTGAATTCTGATTTTGATCCATAGAGGAAGTTTTTATTTTTAATTTATTGATGGAATGGAATGATATTATATTATTATAAATTACTTTATTCAAATAATTTTGAGCAAATTGCAAGAATAGTAGCATTCCATTACCTTGTTCAATCCAATATAATCACCCATTCCATTATCTTGTTCATTCATTTTCATCATACCAAATAAACATACCCTAAGTCAATAAGTAAATATTTTTAAATCTTACCCAACGAGTCCAACCCATCTTTTTTGTCTTGAATTGCATCTCGAAGTTGGCATTTTTCAAGAACCTAGAAAAAGACAACAAGTGTTACAATTTGACAATAATTATGATTAGCAAGTGTTTTCATTTACCTGCCATATTTCTTGATCACTATGTTCTCCAAGAGGATCAATATTGTAACGAATGGATCCATTGAATAAAGTTGGCTCTTGTGGAATAATACCAAAATTTGATCGAAGGTCATGGAGTCCAATTGTAGTAATATCTAATTCATCTATAATGATTCTTCCCTCTGTAGGTTCAACTAGGCGAAACAAAGCACTGATTAAAGTTGTTTTTCCACTCCCTGTCCTTCCAACAATTCCAATTTTGTTTCCTCCTTCGAATACACAACTGATTCCTTGAAGAACCAACGGGGAATTCGGTTGATATCTTATCTACATTGTAAAAATAATCAAATAAGTCATAAAATTAGGAGTTTGAAATGATGGAATTGTCCATTGTGTGATGGAATGGAATAGTCATTATCATTTCATTCCTAAAGACCAAAGTCAAAAAGAAATAATCATTTGCATCACCTTGCTTATTCCATTCCATCCAACCAAACAAACATGAGAAAAAGTTTGAAAACTGTACGTACTTTTAGATTTTGGATATCAACTCTACCCGTACTTGGCCAGTTGCTTGAGGGGCGGTTGTCTTCTATGATTTCTGGGGCTTCACTAAGGATATGCATGTATTGCTCTAGTCTTTCAACCGAAACTATCATATTTGATAGTTGGCATTGGACTTGGACAGAAAAAACAACGAAAACATTCAATGAGAGCCCGTAGGAAAGAGCCATTCCAATAAGTCCTGTCATTACAAAGTTTTTTTAGAGAAGCATCATAGCTCTCGTTAGTATCACTAACCGTAGTCTACCAATGAGATTATATAGTTTGAAATCACTAACCAGAGTCAGATGCTTGAAATGGAAGCAAAGTTATGGCTAGTGCAAAGCTAGCAATAACAAGCGCACAAAGCATTTCCAGACGTTGGATCAACCACTCGTTTGCTGAAAAACTATGAAAAAATGGACTTGCATTGTTGTCAATAAGGTTCAAATGTTCTACAAAGAAACGGTCTTCTTCGCCAAAAGCTCTAATGGTAACCACTCCAGCAATAGATTGTGCAAGATGGCTAGTGACTAATGACTTACTCGTGCCATCTAATCGCATCAACTCCTTTGCAGATGCGTAATAGAATTTCTGTGTAATAGAACTGGAGAGTTAACATTAGAGAAAACTTAATCCCGTAAGTTTTATATGAGTGTTTCTTTTTCCATTTAGGTCCTAAGTCCTAATTTTCAACAAATTTGCCTCAAGTCTAAGAACACTCCTTTTTTACCTGCAGAAGTATGGTAAGATAAACCGTTGGAATGATAATGACCAAGATAGGCCAAGTTAGAACTGCCAAGATTCCAAGGGTAAAGTATGTGTTCACTGTTGAACCTACAGTAAACGTAAGCTTTACTGCTAATTCAAGATCCACGATGCTGAGATCCGAGGACACCTAACAAAAGTAGATATCTAAGTTTCTTGCAGATCATTCGAGCATGATAAATTGATAATATATATATATATATATATATATATATATATATATATATATATATATATGTATGAGTTTAGGTAAAAAAGAGTTACCCTGCTAATGATCCTTCCTACAGGTGTTGAGTCATAGAAGGACATTGGTGCTCGATAAAGACATGTAATCAACTTGTTAAATATAGCAAGTGATGTGTTCATTGTTAACTTAACAATAAAATAAGATCTACCAAATAAAAAGAGCATCATCACAATACCAAGGATCATGTATACCAACAACAACTTTAATTGGCTTATACTTGCACTCTGTACTTCCCTAGCCAACCATAAAGTCTGTACAAACTGTCCAATTATATATAGCATATGTGCTAAAATTGACATGGAGAATAGGAAGTATCCATTGCTCTGGCTAAGATACTGTTTGTAGGGTCTTAAACCTGTGTCCCCTGCTTCTCGTTCTTCTTTCTTAATTAGTTGTTCCCCAATCGATGGTTCTATCTCTTGTATCGGCTTAATTTTTTCAATTTCTTGAATTGGAGATTTGGATTTTTGTTGAGAGTTATCGACTGTTTGGTTATCTGAACCAGAAGTTTCGCTAAGTGCAATCACAAGGTTTTGGAACTCCTTACTGGATTCAAGCAATTTATCGTAGGTTCCTGTTTCAACAATCTTCCCGTCTGCCATTAGCTGTTAACAGATTCACAACCGATAAGAATAGAAGAGAACAAAAACCCTAAAACGACTAGCTAGGGCTGTAAGACTCATTAGCTAGCTTACTAGGATATCGTCAAAAGCAGGCAGGAAGTCGACTTGGTGAGTTACAAGTAACACCGTCTTGCTCGATAAAGCTTCCATGATGAATTCCTAGAAATAAAATGTGTTAAACGATTAACATTTTCGTTGAAGATTGAAGAGAGAAGTAAAAACGATTCTTACTTTGAATAAACTTGATGCGGTATGTGCATCAACTGCACTGAATGGATCATCCAAGAGGTATATGTCAGCATTTTGATATAATGCTCGAGCAAGCTGAACTCGTTGCTTCTGTCCACCGCTGAGATTTACGCCTCGTTCTCCAATGATTGTTTGATCGCCGAATGAGAACATCTCGATATCCTTCACCAGTGAGCATTTGGTTATTACATATTGATACTTCTCCTCATCCATCAAATTTCCGAATAGTATATTGTCTCGAATTGTCCCTGTTTGGATCCATGCTGTTTGTGAAACGTATGCCACCTTCCCATTCACTTCAATCTGAAGATTAAAATTCGGGCACAAAATTTAACAACATAAACTATATACTAAACAATTTCTACAAAGTAATTTCTTATTGTTTTTGTCTTTATAATTTTATATAAACGTTAAATATATATGTTAACAATGTCTAAAAAAAGGTTTTAAAAAATCATTATTTTATTTTTCACCCATTAAAATCATTAGATTTTTTTTTTTTTTTTAAATTAATGCTTCATAACCAGATAATACGAAATTCATTTTTTTTTAATAATGTTTCGCTACCGGATAATTTAAGAAATTATGTTGTATATTTATGTGAAATTAAAATAATTACATGGCATTATATATTTTCAGAATTTGTAAATGTTGTTCTATATTTTAATTTTTTAACTCCATATAGCCTATGCATTCGGTTTTTTTTTTTTTTTTTTTCCTTCTGATTTTGAAATAGTATATAACCAAAATCATAAAATAATATCGTTTTAGTGCACATAAAAATAGTTTAATATTTTTCTTTCTAATTAAGAGAATAATATATCCAGTTTTAATGATTTTAAATTTATAATTTATTAAACTATTCATATTATCATAATATTCTATGTATTTAAATAAAATAAACATTATTTGCAAAATAACTACGAAGTCCGAAATATAGCATTCAAGACTAACTAATTCAGACCCTCTTAGAAATCCAGACTTCTTAAAAATTCAGATCCAGTCAAATCCGAAATCCGATTATCAATTCCAAAAGTTCGAGGAAAAATTCGTTTTTTACTAAATTTCAACAAAAAGCTAAACAAACAAGATAAATAAAAAGTATATATATATATATATATATATATATATATATATATATATATATATATATATATATATATATATATATATATATATATATATATATATATATATATATATATATATTAAAGACTTTGAAATAAATATTTCGAACATAAGTAAACATTATGTAAATAGATTTCTTTAAAACAAATTGCAAACGAAAAAAACACTCGAGATTTAAAAAACAAGCCTGGAATAGAACATTCATGAGAGGTCATTTTTCAAATACAAAAAAATAATTATTTTTCTACTAGTAAAAAACTCGTTTAAAATGCTTAGTTTACTTGATTTCTTGTTAATATTATATTGTTATCATAGCAAGATCATATATATTTACATGTTCTAAAAGAGTAAATTACATGAATGGTCCTTATGGTTTGAAGTAAATTGCAAATTTTGTTCTAATTTATTTTTTAAACTTGGAAGGTCTTTACTATTTGTTTTTGTTACGCTTTGGTTCCTATCTTATCTAAAATGACTATTATGCAATTATTAATTTCTTTTTTGTAATCAATTTTATTATTTATATTATTTTAATTTATTAATGTAAATAAGAAAAAAAGGCATGTAGGTCCCACTCCTTTACTGCCTTTCTCAATACCCTTGTTGATTTGATCATTCTTCATCATTATCGTCAACCTCCCCCGTCCTCAACCCTCCGCCCTCTTCTCAATAGACTTGAAATTTCTACCTCCTCTATCTCCAGCGTCAAGTATCCCCTTCATCCGCTCCTCACCGCCCACCTCTTCTTCACTGATAGAACCTCGACTTAAAAATTACCCTTTTGGGACCTAGATATCGTTGCAACACTATTACTCATGACGTCAACCATCCAATCGTCGCATGCCCTATTTTTAAAACTACAAGCAATTGCCAATTACCCCATCACCAAACGACCATAGCCAACCTTCATTGTCAATCTGGTTGCATGTGGTCTCAACTGAGTTTTATTCAGTTGCTTTGTATAAATTTCTTTGTCTGGTTTCAAGTATTGTTGCATAAATTTGTGTTCATGAGTTTTTGATTTCAAGTTTTTGAGTCTGATGTCAAGTGTTTCTACATAAATTGAATTTCAAGTTTTAATTCGAGCTTTATGTATGATTTATGTTTCAATTTTTGTTTCAATTTTGATCTTAGATTTCATAACTGATTTATGCTTCAATATTTGAATAAGATATTTCAATCCAATTCTTGATGATAAATATTATAAATTATGTTAAGACTTATTGATAAATTTGATTTTAGATGTAGACATGCAATGGTTTTAACTCTGATGATGAGGTGGGTGGTGGTGGTGAAGAATACTATACATATCTTTCTAGGGAGGAGAGGTAGTCACAGACATGAAACGGGAATATAATTGGGAATGAGGAAAAACGGTAGGGTAGGTAAGGTAAGGTGAGGTAGGGGTAGTGTTAGGGTGTGTTTATTTAAATAAATTAAAAAATCAAGGGTAAAATAGTCTTTTTAAGCAAGACAGAGACCAAACGCACAATAAAAATAAATAGTAAATACCTTCCGAGTTAAAAAAAAATAAGTTAGAGACAATATGTATAAATTACCCCAAACCATAGGAACACATTTATATAATTTACTCTTTTAGAATAGGTAAATATATAGCGGTTACTATGATATCAATATAATATTAACAAGAAATTAAGTAAACTAAGCATTTTAAATACGTTTTATTTTTCTTTTTAAAATAATTTTTTTTTTTGTATTTGAAAAATAACCTTCTCATGAATGTTCCTTTTTGGACATGTTTTTCAAATTTGGAAGTATTTTTTTCCTTTTAAATTTTTTTTTAAAGAAATCTATTTACATAATGTTTACTTATTCGAAATGTTTATTTTAAAGTGTTGAATATTAATAGTTTTCAATCAAATGTTTGGTTTTAAGTCCTAGTATTATATATATATATATATATATATATATATATATATATATATATATATATATATATATATATATAATATATATATATATATATATATATATATATATATATATATATATATATATACACTTTTTTCATTTACTATGTTTGTATAGTTTAACCAAAATTTCCTCGAACTTCTGGAATTGATCATTACATTTCGGATTTAAAATTGATTTTTTTTTTTTTAAATTTATGAACTCCAAAATTTCAGTCCAAAATGTATTTTTCGATCGGGATAAGTGGTTTTGTTAGTTTGGAATGCCATATTTCGGACTTAATAGTTATTTTGCAAATAATTTTTAATTTATTTAAATACATAAAAGATTATGATAATATGATTGGTTTCATATTTTATAAATTTAAAGCCATAAAAAATGGATGTATTATTCTCTTAAACTCCTCTCACTACTATTATCTAACTTTTTCAACCTATACACGTTAAGCTTACATTACAATATAAAGACCTATGTGACATTAAAAAATCTTACATGAGAATATGCTAGGAGTGCTACCATTCTTTATAGTCTTAATGAAAATCTAAGATTTGAACTTTTCCATCAATTTTTGGGATCATCATTTATTGATTCTCTCAAAGGTTCAACTTACATCAAATCCCATTTATTCTATGCTGCTTTTTTTGTTCGATATCTCTTCGGATGCTATTAAGTAAACACATTTTAAACACCATATTAACTCTATTATGCTATAAAAAAAACCCTACTTAGTCAAATCTTGGAAACTGTAACATTGAAAACTGAAATTATTGTAAAACATGTAGTCTTTTCTTTTTCTTTTAATCTAATAAAATTTTGATTTCGTTTACTATTTTCGATAAGTAATCCAAAAACCCAACCATCACTATCGACGACAACCATTACAGGTGACGGAAACCATCACCTCGGAAACCTATCATCGTCAATAAATAGAAAGATAAAGAGAGTCAGATCTAAAGAGAGAAATATCGAAAGTTAGACATAGATCGGAGACTTAGAATCGACCAAATGCTGACGTTCTACCGCCTGAAACACACACACACACACACACACACACACACACACACATATATATATATATATATATATATATATATACACACACACAGAGAGAGAGAGAGAGAGAGAGAGAGAGAGAACGCCGACGAGCGGCTTGAGTTGCCTGGTCTTTCCAGTGGTGGTGTTAGTCCGATGGAGACGGTCTTCTAGTAACGACAATGGTCTGACGACCATAATGGATCGATGATGACAGTGGTCCAAAGGTTGAGATGATATTTGACTGAAGCAGATATGCTTTCTTGAGAGAATTAGGAAAATATGGTTTTAAAATTTTAGTTAGGGTTTTAAGTAAGAGATAATAACTTAATGTGGTAATATATTTTTCGATTTGTACATATTTAGCTATTGAGTTTTTTTCGTCCACATTTATCCATTCAAATTGTTTAACTGTGTATACATGAGAAATATTAAAAACTAAATGTGTATAACTAAATAATGTGAAGGAATAAGTATGAATAAAAAAAACTCAATTTTTAAATATGTAAAATCGAAAAATATATTATCCTTTTAAATGATGATTAGTTATAAAAGGATAAAATGAGTTGGGCTTCATTTACGTTAGTTTTTTAAAATAATATAAAAATATATTATATATTAATTAAAAGTAAAAAATGTAATTATTGTTTGATTATTGAGAAGTATTTTTTTAATTATAAGTATAATAATGTTAGGTGTTTTTCTAGTAGTGAGTGTTTTGTTAGTAAATGAGGATGTTTTTTAGCCTTTCCCTGTCTCTTCTCGTCAACACCATTTCTTATATTTGTATATAAAAGAATAATATAAAATCAAAATTGATATTCTATGATTCTTTTATACAAAAACTTTACATAATTTGGGTCGGAGAAAATGCTAGGGAAAAAACTGTTATAAATGAGAATTGATGTTCAAAATTGTGTGAAGCTTCAAGTTTTAGGTTTATGCAATTCTGCTTGATTTCATTGAGTAGTTATACTTATAGTATTAGATATAATGCTTATTAATTGTATTATCATGCTATATATATAAAAAGGCTTATATATATATATATATATATATATATATATATATATATATATATATATATATATATATATATATATATATATATATATATATATATATGACTCTATGTCAAGTTTTAACCCTTTCTATTTTTTATTAGAGAGAATTTCATATATATCATATTTGCCCAGCTTAATTTTTCAATATCATATTTACCTTTCATAAACTTTCAAAATATCATATTTGTCCAAATCCTTTTTTTATAATGTTTTTAATATTTTATAATCATTTTTATACCTTACAATTATTATAATAATTTAAAAAATTAATCATATTATCCTTACGTCTATAATAATGAAATGTGAACTTCTAAATTGTTGGAATGTGATCCTCTTGACAAACAAAAAGATTTATCTTCAAACCTCTCTATGGAATGTATATTTTGATTGTTTAGTTTTGTTGTTGTTGATTATTATCATGTTGTAAATGGAAGATATTGTAGATATTATCATTGACATTTTGATGTTTAACAAGGGCATATACGATATTTTGATATTTAAGAAGGGTATATATGATATTTTGATGTTTAAAAAGGGGCATATATGATATTTTGAAATTTTATGAAGGGTAAATATGATATTTAGAAATTAAGTTGGATAAATATGATATTTTGATGTTTAAAAAGGGTATATATGAAATTCTCCCTTTTTATTATTATTATTTTTTAATATTCTGTCCAGTTCTATTATACACCTTAATTTTGATTATATTTTTTTGTTGGACCAATTCTCTTATACTTTAAATACAATGATTATATCTTTTTCATGGCAATACTTATGATTTAACTCTTTAGTATAATTTCTTCTTTTATCATTTTTATAATTTTATACATTTTTTTAGTTTTTTATAATTTTATTATATCTGACGAACAAAAATACACACACACACACACATATATATATATATATATATATATATATATATATATATATATATAAGAGAGAGAGAGATAGAGAGAAATTTAAAGAGGAACCATTTTAAAAAAAAGAACCAATCTTGTCCGTTAAAGAGTAATTGATTAAGAATCTAAAAAACGAATATACCATTGTTATAAATTTTTATATTTTCTCGTTAAAGATCCATATTAATATATAAAGAATGAAAAAAATCGAAAAATCACACTTCACTTTGTTATTTTATTATTATTTTTTAATTACAATTATTTTTTATTGAAAAAAATAAAATAAATACATCAAAATTTATAATTTTGGTACTTTTTAAATAAACAATAATATCGATGTAAAAAAATAAAAATTTTCACCTTGCAGGTTAGATTCACACTATAAATGTGATATGCATATAATTTTATTTTTGGCATTCACAATGTAAATTTGTTTTACTATTTCAAAACTTTTGATCATCCACAAATTAATTTAGTGAAATTTATACGTGAATCGAATTATATTTCTTTATGGTTTTATAATATTTTAATGTTTTAATTACTCATAGATTGGTTTTGTAAAATGCATAAGGGAATTTATTCACACCGTAAAAACAAAATTATATTAAGATCAACTTTACAGATTTAATATGATTCACAATGTGAAACTATTTACTATTTCATTTTTTACAATCATATGAATAACAAAAGTTATAAATTTTGATCTATTTTTTTATATAAATATATCTAAATATTAAAAAACTAGAAAAAGGACGTTGGTTTTTTTTGGGGAAAAAATCATTTTTTATATTAATGTAGATGTTTATGGAAAGAGAATAATAAATTATGAATTTTGATATATTCGTTTTTTTTTCTCGATAAAAGGTTAGTTTTAAAAGTAAGATAAAAAAAGAAATGAGCTTTTTATTACGATTCAATACATTTGCGTCCAACTTTTTAATGCTTATCTATTTTTCCTCTTGATCATTTTCTTTCTAGCGGTCAAGATTGATTCATTTCAGTAGCGAAGTTTGGGTCAAAGTAAAGGGGTATCTCAAAAATTTTCGGGTGACCTAAATTTTTTTTCCGGAGTACTTGGGTTTCCTCGGTTCGATTTCAGTATTAAACCCAAATCATAATTGAATCCTTATATAAACATAAAGTATATTTTGATACGTGAATGTACGTGGGAATCAAAGTAGATATCAAATGAAGTATGAGGATATCAAATTTATATAATAGACGAAAATGTCTTAAATTACATGTGTTTGGCAATGTGAGATAAAATAGATGGGAAAATAAATAAAAGGTAAACAAAGAACAAATAAAGAAGGAGATTTGATCCTAAGACCTCTACTTCAATACATTAGCACCTTATCCAACAAACCACATGTTTGTTTGTGTTTATAGGTGAAAGAATATATATATAAAGTGATTATTGACTGTTTCAAGAAAATATTATCTAATTGGAAAGTGAAATTGCTTTCTATTGATGGTCAACTGACTCTCTTAAAATCTGTCTTGGGAAGTCTTGGTATTTTTTACTTTTTTTTTTTCGATTACCAACTACAGACTCTCATTTGCTGGAATCCTAGATCTTGTTTTTTTTTCTGAGGTATGGATGAATATCAACAGAAAATCAATTGGATCAAGTGGGATGTGGCTCTTAATAGTCATGAGAATGGGGGTCTTGACATAGGTAGTCTTGACGCCTTTGATTTAGCCTTATTATATAAATGGAAATGGAGATTTCTTAATGATAATCAAACAATCTGGGTGAAAGTTATTAAATTTATTTATGGCGTTAGTGGTGGGTTCTTGGAAGCTACTTAGTTTAGTCAAGGAGGGGGTGTTTGGCAGAAATTTGTTGGGTCTATTAATCAGCTTCATGATAGAGATATTATCCCGTTAGATTCCATGTCTAGGGTGGTTAACAATGGAAATACTACGAGATTTTGGATAGATGCTTGGTATTATGGTATTTATTTCAAGGTGCAATTACATAGATTATTTGCTTTGTCTACTTGTCGAAGAAATGTTTATTAATAATTTATGGTCTTCTAATGATTGGAGATTTTCATAACGCTGCACAATCAAAGGAGGGGCTGAGAGGCAATAATTGGATGATTTACTATCTATTTTAGAGAATGTGCACTTAGAAATCTCTCATGACAAATGGGTGTGGCAGTTGGATCCATCAGGGTTGTTCATGGTTTGTTCTCTTAGATGGAAGATTGATGAGGAGAAGTTTCAATTCCTTCGGTCTCTCATGCTACTAGGTGGAACTGCAACATTCCTATCAAGATCAACGTCTTTGTTTGGCGTGTTCTTTTGGACCGTATCCTAGTACAGTATAATCTGATTAAGTGAATAGTTGATCTTGATTCTACTCTTTGTCCATCTTGTCAACTTTCTCAAGAAGATGTTAATCATGTGTTTCTTTCCTGCCCAATGGCATCTCAAATTTGGCACCGGGTGGAGTCTTGGCCGGAGGTGGATTTTCCTAGTTTTTACACTTTGAGGGAGTTGTTTCATTGGGTGGACTCGATGCCTAATACTAGAACGACAAAGGAGATTATTGATTCTATTTGCATGGTGGTCATTTGAGTTTTTTGGGCTTATCAGAATGTCTTTCTCTTTAGATCTACAAAACCTAAGAAAAGTTGTTTTTATTGTTTTTTTTAATTTTTTTAAATTCTTTTTATTCCATTATAGAGACATCTTTTCGTTAGTTTATTTTTCGGAATTCTAAGGGTATAATTAATTGAGTTAGTTGGATGAACAATCGAATCATGCTTTGATTTTTCTTGTATTTTGCTAGCTTCTTGCTCGTTGTCTTTTTGGTTTAGTAATATTTTTCTACTGATGTTTAAAAAAAATTATACATCACAACTGCAATAGAAGTTAAAAATATATAATAAAGTTATTATACTGTAAACATAGAAAACAACTACAAATAATTTTATACTATGTATTTAAAGCAATGGTTATTTATTAATAATTAAAATAAATATATTTAATTGTTCACTAAAAAATCTAAAAGCTATTTATGTATTTAAAAATTTAAAGTGTACATGTTTGTGTAGGCAAAAGTTTACAAGAAGTGTTATAATTTTATACGAAAAAAAAAACTAAAACTGTTATTTTCATATATTGAAAGCATATAATAAAATGTAAGTGTATAATCAATAACCCTGTTTATTAACACAAAGTGCAGAAATAAAAATATTTTACTTTTAAAAAAAATGTTAAAATGAATAAAATAATAATGTATTATTATCTATGTTGTTCTTTTTATTTTATAAAAAAATAATAAATTTGAAACAGAATATTTAAATAATGATTATTAGTTGATTACTTAATCGTAAATATAATCTTTAATCTTTATGTTTTGAATCTCCTTAATAAAATAACAATTAATTCAAATTAAATATACACAAATTAATCTCAAAATTGGATCAAAAGGTTAAAATAGAGAGATACGTACTGTGCCTTTTATATGCGGAACCTCTCCTAAAACGGCGGAGATAAGAGTCGATTTACCGGAGCCGACCTCACCGCATATTGCCACTTTTTTTCCGTTCAATACTTCAAGTTTTACATCGGTAAGTGTCGGTTTCGAAGAATCATCATTCCATGAAATCGATTCACAATTGATTACTACAGCTCGATCTTCCATGTTTCCATGATTCTTCCCCTCTTTCTGCAACTCCGGCGCCTGTAAAAACTCAACAACACGGGTTAACGCAACCCTTCCTTCAATAAACACCGCTGCAACATCAGAAATACTCTGAATCGGCTCCTGAATGATCCGAATCGTTGCCAGAAACGTAAACACATTACTCGCATTAAGCTCGATTCCAAACAAATAACAAGCCCAAAACGTCACCACCGCCACAATCACCGGAGACGACCAAAACATAATGATGAAAAATCCTCTTTGCGTCATAACAGCCGATAACCATTTCATCTCTTCGTTTCTTAACTTTCCAGCCACCTCCCGGAAATGCGTCTCCCAAGCGTACAACTTGAGAACCTTCATGTTTGAAATCGCCTCTGATATGGCCTTCAACCGCCGGTCTTGCGCCGCCATGAGTTTCGTTAGGTATTTATGTTGTAATTTCCCCAACGGAATGTTTCCGACGACTGTTAATATTATTACCAATAAAGCTGCTATCGTTGCTACTCCGATTGAAAAATATATTATGAAAATCCCTAGAAATATCTGAAGAGCGATTGTCCATATGTTATGAAACCAAAACGGAACCTCTCCGATTTTGGTAGCATCAACGGTGGCGTAGTTCATGATTTGGCCGGAGGAGTAAATCAATTTAGCATCGTTTGATAGCAGGAGTTGCTTCTTATAAATCGCTGCACATAACATCGATTTGACTTGGAGTCCGATCACTCTAGTCCGAAACTTTAGTTGTCTCTCCGATATCGATTCCAGAACTTTCGCTAGAAATAACCCTAACGTCAGAAAATACCCTTCGTTCTCGAAACTTTCATTCCCTTGAACAAGTTGAATGAAAGCTCGAAGAATCAAAGGACCTGAAGCCAACGCGAGCACTTTTATCAGCGCAAAAATACCAGTGATTACGAGCTCTTTCCATTGCCAAACGAACAACGTTGATAAGATCAGTGGATCGGAATCACCATGACCACCGGAAACACTCTTTGCTCGCCGTTTCTCCAGCGTCGCCATGAAAGTGGAATAACATTCTTCTGCTGTGTCTTCCTTTCGTAACTTTGGGATGTCGTTTTCATCGAGAACTTTACTTTTCCCTTTTACCATCAACGGGTTTAGCCACCAGAATGTTAATTTACTTAACACTCCAGCTTTGGCCATCGGAGTAACATTTTCGTCTGTTTCAGATGGTGGATTAGCTTGCAGAGGAGCATAAAGTGAATTATCTTCCATTATACAAGTTCTTCTAACTTCTAAGATGGAAGGTCTGAAGTCTTGAACAAATGAAAATATAGTAGTTAGTTTTGTGCTAAAACTGACTAGCGATGAGTGGACTGAAGTTCACTAAAGAGCAATTGGTGGTTTTTAAAGCTTTATGAAATCAACAGAAGATATGTGTTTTCGCTTTTCAAGACGTGTTTTGCAAGGAAATTGTGAATCGCATGCACACCTTAAAAATGTACAATCATAATAATAAAAAGAAGGAACTTAAATCAACTTTATTTTAATATTTTTTTTGGGGACCACTATTGTTATAAGTCTAGAATGATTTGATTGCCAATAACATTTTTTCATACTTTTTTTTTTTTTGGGGTAAATTACATTGATAATTCTTTCTGCACATGTTAGAAAACGTGTTTAGTTCTTATCTTCAAAAATTAACTTGGACCGTTAAAAATTAAACGTTTCATTCCTCATCAGTTTAAATCTACATGTTTCATCCCTTACAAGACTTGAATAGAATATATTGCACTTGTTTATTTTCTTTTTGATTGTTGAATTTTTTTAATTATATTATATAAAAAATAATGTGGGCCCTCACCTTACACACCCTACCCCCGTTTAGCTAAATACCCTAAATCTCCCCTCCGTTTCTATATGTTTGTCTAAAAATCTCACCTCCCCGGTAAAGCCAAAATCCGGCCACCGGAGGTAATCATCATCCTCTTCAGACCACTGGGGTCCTCCCCTTTACAACAATGATTTCATCCCCTGCAAGTAATCATCGCCATCTCCTCCAATCCATCACCGTCGCCTCCAAGCCACCGCCACCTCCTCACATGTCGCTGCCACTGTGGAGATCAATTATGGAGCTCGACGGACCACAACCATCCTATCCGTCTCTCATCCTTCTCTAATCTGAATACTCTATCTTCAAGCCTTCACCTTCATCGTCTTAGATCACCACCACCTAGGGTTTCGTTTCAGATCGCGATAGCCGCCTAGTGTTTTGTCTCGGATCGCTCAATCTTCTCGAGCATCAAACATGATAAAATATGTGGATCTTCAGCGACTTCTTCCTCACAAGCTCCTCTTCTTGTACCTTTTATTCATGTTTGTGAAGAAGAGATCTGTTGTTGGTGATCTACAGTGGTTATGGCGAGATATGGTGGTGATGGCATTGACCGATAATGTTGTTAGTATCGCCGGTGGTGTTGTTAATTTGCCTAATTTCCATCTTAATTGTCATAATCATTTAATTAATGTCCAACACATGTAAATTGCTCATATAACCGGTTTTTTATGTATGTATATCCTTCGATCCACATAAATTCATGTAATTTACTCTTTGCGGGAGAAAGGAGGAGAACGGGTGGTTTCCGATGGTTCTGGTGGTGCTGGTTTCCCGAAAAGGTAAAAGGAAAGGGGATAGAGAAGGGGAGGGGTGGGGTGGAGACATTTGATTTTTTTATTTTTTTATAATCTAAAACTGATAAAGTAATAAAAGAAAATGAAAAAAGAAATTATTAAGGGTAAAATAATCATTTTATGTCAACAGGGACTAAGCGTGCAAGATAAAACAAATCCATGATGACCTGAGTTAATTTTTGAAAATAGGGACTAAACACGTTTTTGGACATATGCATGAGGGATTACCGGTGTAATTTACCCTACTTTTTTTAATCTATTATACATTTTTTCTAATATATCACGAACTATAAACCGTAATATTCCATTTAAGCAAATTATATATTTTCAAAAGTGCTGCATCTTTTCGACAAAAATACAAGACAACATATATACATTTTTACTATACTCGTTTTCTGATAATCTTTAATTCTTTTTAGACAAAACTAGGGAATGATCCCGTGTTGCGGGTGTTAGAAAGTGGATGTAAAGCAATCGGTTTTGCTATAATTGTCATTTTGGCCTCTTTAAGCTCCATTTTTCACTGAGTGAGTTAGCACCCTACGTAAGAAAAGGTACGCCCAACGTACACACTAGGCAATTGAATTTCGTTGACTTTTGACCTTTGGTCAAGATTTAGGGTTTTGGACCATGGGAAGGGCAAAATGGTCATTTTTCCCCTAAGGGACTTAGTTGAGGGATTTAGACTCGTAAGTTGATTTATGGATCTTAATTATTAATTAGGGTTAATTATTTTATTGATTAGATGGGGTCTAGTTCCGGCAGTTTAGGTGAGAGATTTATCTGTCCTTAGTACTAGGTGAGCTTTCTCACTTATTCTTACCTGTGTAGTAGAATAGTTGTATTTATAATGACCGAATGTGTCTAACTGATATCTTACATTATGTTGGGTATGTGTAACTGAGAATGCAGATAGTCTCCAGGGTTGTTGATAACCCATAGGGTGTGATGTTGCCCACTGGGACTGCTGATAGTCCCCAGAGTTGCTGATAACTAATAATTGTTTATTTTATTAACTATTGTAGGTGGTATTTCGGGGAACTTACTAAGCTTTGTGCTTACAGTTGTTGATTTATATGTTTCACGTACTTCTGAGTACTTCGGAAAAGCAAAGGTCTGACTGTACACACTCGTTGAAAGATTTGTTACTAGGTTAGTTTGAGAAACTATGATATTTTGTGATGATGTTTGTTTTAGACACTTATGTGTTTGATGACTTGGTTTGTGAAACTTTATTTTGGTAAATTAAAAATGAAAAAGAATTGGTTTAAAATTTCAGGAGTTAAAATTTGGTATCAGAGCCCTGGTTTGAGGGATTTGGATGAACCTTAGGGTAATTCCAAACTCAGACTAAGGATATGAAGATTTTTATAAAAAGTTATCAAAGAAATGAAGAGTTTTATAGGAGGAAAACCCAGTGAAGCAGTGTGTACAATCAACCAGAGCTCGAGCGGTAGTTTCCCAAAATACCTCAATTTATAATATGGGTAGTGTAGAGCAGATATTTTATGAGCCAATAGAATTGCATGCTAGCTAGTGGTAGGCTAAGGATCCTGCAGGAATGGTGTAATAATGTTGCCTAATTTTTTATGCCTTTAGCCTAGGAGTTCATTCTTATAAGTTTGAATATGCCATTGCTAATTGCTTAGTATATGCGATATAATTGTACATAGTTAGGATTTTATAACCTTAGAATGCCCGATTTAGCCCTTTTTCATGTTCTTTGTTTGGTTGTAGATTTGAGGTAGACTCAATTATTTGAGTGCCTATCGAGTCTAGTATTGTGTACAATTGGCATATGCGAAGCAAATAGCGAGGAAAGCAGAGATCTTGTGAGGTGAAGCAATGCTTGGGAGTAGTCTAGAGGTAGTGTCTTGTAACATCCCAAAAATAAAGACATAAATTTTCCTTTTTAAATTAATAAATAGTTAATACATATTCCATAAAACCATGGTAATCAAGATTTAGCAAAACATCATCGGATCATAGGAAATCACAGAATGCGAAAACATATGGTGTGTACCCTGCAACCATCTTGAGCTCTTCCATTTGAAAACCAAACTAGATGAAACATAAAATGAAAACCGTAAGCACAAAGCTTAGTGAGTTCCCCAAGATACCATATACCATACATGCATAAGTCACATACTGGTCCTCGGCCCTCCATCGGGCCTCGCCTGGTCTCGAGTCCCACTCGACCTCGAGCCTGGCTCGACATCGAACCCCGTTCGGATTACAAATCTGTCATTCACCAGGCCCCGCTTGACATTGAGTACCGCCCGATACACACATAATCATATAACCATATAATAATATAAACATTTAACCTCCTAGCACATGCAATAATCACAAAGACTATAACATACCATACAATCATCGATCCCCGTCCAACAAGCATAAAAACAGGTGGTAATAACCAGCATGCAATATACTCATTAGACCCCGCCTAACAGACATAGCACTACATAGCATATGCAAGGGCCACGCAGCCTATTGGCATCCTAGCATAATAACAAGGGCCACCATTGGTGTCATCAACCAGCTAAACACAGAGAGGAAACTCACCTCGCACTATCGAATCTCACAGACAGAATCTCTGGCTATTGGCCCACAAGAATCCCCGCGTTATCAATCACAAGATAAACATCCATCAATAATCGGACCAGACTCACACTAAGTGTCCAAAATAGGGTAAACGACCCTTTTACCCTCTTTATAACTTGCCCCTAAAGCCAAGGCCCAATTCAACAATCCAAAAGGCCCAAACATGGCTCAAAACATCCAAAGGTCAACCCTGATCAAACTCTAGTCAAAGTCAAAGTCAACAACCCATGTTGACCAAACACGTCGTGTTGACCCTTAAACACGCCATGTTCCTCCCTTATCTAGATAATCGGGAAATCCCCAATGAACATGTTATGTTGGCTTGTAAACACACCGTGTTTTCCCAAGATTCAACAGCTTAATACATTAAGCTACTATCCCCGATTCCAAGAGCTCCAAGTCTCAGCTCTAGACCAAAATGAGACCTAGAAGGGTAAAGTTTACATCTTTACCCATAGGGATTACCAAAACGGGTCCAAACCCAACCAAAAAGGCCTGATATAGCAAGGGCTTAACCAATAAGCACTTAACCCTTGAAGACATAACCCTAAAACAAATATCTGACTTCCTTGAGCTGGAAAACCATGTAAAGTTGACAACTTAACGTTTATGCATGCCTAAATGAAGCTCTTAAGCTTAAAAAGGACTTAAAAATTGACTTAATGCATGCATGCCACCATAAATCTCATAAAGCTTGCACCTTTATGCTCAAAGGGACCAAAACAAAATCAAAGGTGGAATAACAAGCCCTTAAACGACTTCACACTCTCATCAACCCAAAAGGGACCAAAAGTACAACAAAGCACAAAATGGATAAATCTAAACACCTAAAAGCCAAGATGCAAACTTGATACCTCAGAAAGCTTCCTCACAAGATGATGATTCTGGATCCAAATCCTTTTCCCCAAACAAAGCAACTTCAAGATCTCCTCTTCCTTCACAAGGACCAACAAAGAACACTAAGAACCCCTTACTAGCTCAAGAACATCACCAAGAGAGTTAAAAATCAATTTTAGGGTTTTAATGTCAATGGAGGCTGGTAAGGAGACCAAACCTTGGAGATTAAAGAGATTATATAGGGTGAAACATCCTAAAAATGAGGTTTTCCTTTCGAACTTCCAACACGTTGTGTTTAGGTACTAACACTCCATGTTGACCTTAAT